CGTCCAACTTCCCAGGAGGTCAGGGAAACGGGCTCCCCGTGAAGCACAAGGTCATACAGATGGAAAGCAAGAATGGATGCTGCACTGGAAGGCTAGAGACACGTGTCACGGGGGTCGTGGGAAAACCAAGGGCTGGAGGAGACCTCTAGATTTGGGGCCTCATCGGTAGTAGCCTGGGCTTTCCACATATCAGTAATCGTTGCCTCCCCCATACATTGCTTCAGTGGGGGCTCATTTGTGTCCTCTTTGGGACCCCCAGGTTGAACACGGAAAGGTCTCCCCAGTTGCGCTGTACGCAATCGCTTTCTCCGAGGGAGAACTCACGAGAGATTCCGTCCGGAGACAGATGACTCAAACGAATGGAGGCTTCCCATTGGGACAACCTGTTTCTTGGGAGCCAACTGTGAAGTATCCCTGTCAAGCCCCGCCTCCCAATTCCACTTCTCCCCTCCCTTGGGGAGGGGGCTTGGGGGAAGCCTCCATGGTCTCCGCCTGTTGCCGTTGCTAATGGAGACGATGACCGGGAGCCATGGAAACGAAGGGAGGAAGACCCAGGGTAAGGATTGGGGTGTGGGAGGGACCATTGATGTTGCTGGGGTGGGAGGTGACCGGGACCCCTAGAGGTGAGACGGGAGCGAGGCGGGAGCTTGCGAGAATCCTCCCCTTTCCTCTTGGCCGCGCCCCTCCCAGTTCGATTCCCTCAGACGGAGAAAGCGGGAAAAGGGGTTCCGAGAGGAGTGGGAGGAGCCTATTATGGCGGGAAGAGCGGAGAGACAGACGCCACTCTGAGGGAAGCGCCACCATCTGGGGGGGGGGGGAGTCTTAGGTGTCGTCAAGGACAGGACTCCTCCTTTCTCTGGGTCAGTCACTTTATTGGGCCTCCATCTGGTCCACTCTTCTCCCTCAGGAACCCCTCTACAACTATCTGGTGCGAATCCCCCAGGTGACCCTTTCAAGTCACCCCGTCACTGAGTCAAATGACTTGGAAGATCCCCAGATCCCCTCACTGTATCTCCAACGTATTCATTTCTTCATGTAGCTTTTTTGTTCAATGTATATATAATGAAAGGCATCATTTACATTTAGCAAGAACTGTTTCCAATAATTTATTAACCATTTAAATTGAGAAAGGTGGTTAATAATCAGGAAATAACTTTTTTTAAAAAAAAAACTAGTATTAAGATAAAAAGCACAGTCACAATCATGTTATTAAGCTTTCTCCAAAATCAAACCAACTCAACAGACTCTAACGTATGTGGAGTCCGATTGATCTTTCTAATCAACTTGAGATCACAAAATGAAATAGAGGCACTAGTGACATTATGAAAAACTTGAGAAATAGGAAATACTTTAATCCGAGAAACTGAATAATGAACGAATCAAGAAATTTAAATGCTTTTTTAAAAAAAAAATATTTCTCATATGATACACTCTTGGATCAATAAAACAATTTTTAAAGTCCCTTTCAGTCGGGAGAATAGAACTGAATGGAATGGAGCTGGAAGGGACCTTTGAGGACTTCTGGACTAGAGTAGGCCCCTGCTTAAACAGGACATTCTTTTCCAGTTATGGCAAAATATGGTACATGTGTCAGAGGTGGCATGCAGAGCCCTCTCTGGGCATGCATGCCGTCGCCAGCTGCTATTCTGGTTTCTGGCGCATGCATGCATGCTGGCCAGCTGATCTTCGTGCGCTTGCACGCACTGGAACCCAGAAGACCTGCTCTTCTGGTTTCTGGCAGATGCGCATGCATTCTGGTTTCGGTACTTGGTGCCGAAAAGGTTCACCAACACTATACCATTTCAGACAAGTGATTCTTCAGTCTCTTCTTAAAAACCTCCACTAATGAAGCACAATTTTTGAAGACAAGTTGTTAAACTGGTTAATTGTCCTCACTGTTAGGAAGTTTCTCTGTAATTCCTTGATCAGTTTCCATCCATTTTTTTTCTTGTCTTGCTTTGGATCGTAACCCCTTCCCCTTTGCTCCCCAAATATTGGAATACTGCCATATCATGTCACCCCAGTCTTTCATTTCACTAGACTAGACAAACAAAATTGGAAGGGACCATGTATGTCATCTAATCCAACCCACTATACAAGCAGCAGATCCTACACCATTTCTGAGAGGTGGCAGTCCAGTCTCTTCTTGAAAGCTGCCAGTGATGAAGCTCCCACAACTTCTAAAGGCAAGCTGTTCCATTGGTTAATTGTTCTCACTGTCAGAAAATTTCTCATTTCTAGGTTGAAATCTAGGTTGACTAGTCATACCCAAATACTGCAACTGTTCTTCATGTTTTAGTCCCCAGGCCTTTGATCACGTTAGTTGTTCTTATAATTTTTTCCAAAGTTTCAACACCTTTTCTGTAGTGTGGTGACCAAAATTAGTTGTGGTATTCCAGGTGTGGACTTACTAAAGCTTTATAAAGTGATATTAATACTTCACGAGATTTTGATTCGATGCCTTTGCCTGTAGATATAAATATTTGGGAGAGATTTTCACTTGCAACCAAACTTGTGCACATACAGTATATGAGAGGAAAACACAGCTTAAACTGTGCTATATGTTTAAAGGCCAGTATTCTCAACACAATTAGGGCTAAAATGAATATATACATTTTATTCACAAAATGAATATACATACATTTTCCCTTGCTTTGCTTGCATACACCAGCTCTTCACAAAGCCTGGAGGCTGATCCCAGATTCACTTCGGATGTTGATTCTGCAGAAAGAAAACACCAAACCACAAAAACGTCCGCATTCCGTACATATCTATTTCCCACCGACGTGGATCCTCTTATGGGAAGCAAGGTTACTTTTAAATCTGAAGCTGTCCCCACACTGCAGGCATTTATAGGGTCTCTCTCCTGTGTGGGTCCTTTTATGGGACGTTAAAGACCTACTGGCAGCGAAGGTCTTTCCACACTCTGTGCACTTATAAGGTTTTTCCCCTGTATGGATCCTGTTATGGAAACTAAGTTGACTGCTTCGGCTGAAGCTTTTCCCACACTGTAGACATTTATAGGGTTTCTCTCCTGTATGGATCCTTTCATGAGAAGTAAGAGAACCCTTGATAGTGAAGCGCTTTCCACACTCCAGGCATGTATAGGGTCTCTCCCCCGTGTGGACCCGTTTATGGAGGATCAGGTAACTGCTGCTTTTATAGCTGTTCCCACACTCCATGCATTTATAGGGTTTTTCACCTGTGTGGACCCGTTTATGGGAACCAAGGTCGCAGCTTTGTCTGAAGCCCTTCCCACACTCTAGGCATTTATAGGGTTTTTCTCCTGTGTGGATCCGTTTATGAGAAGTGAGAGAACTC